CGGTTTGCCATGAAATCCAAAAAAACACTGCTCTGCGTGAATTCCACACGCCCTCTTTTCTTTGAAACAAAGCTTTGGTAACGATAACTTATATGGCATCTTAAACAGGAAGGCGAAAACGAGCCGCCCCTAATGTTGATGACTCTATGCTAAATGCTAGGAAAACTAGTGCTAGGCTTAATCTTAGGGTTAAGATAACAGTAAGAGTTGGCGTTATTTAGGGTTAAGTTAAGGGTTATTGCTAGTCAGCGTGAAGGGTATGACCAGGATTTGTGAGAGAGTTACTGTTTTATTAAGGGATACACTCAAACTTTCTATTGGGGTTGATGATGGGATTAGGGCGCGCTAATATTTACCCTCAGTGTAATTTCGCCCAAGACAACTTTTGCTACCTAGACGTATACCGTTTGGAGGAGCTATGCACGTAATCTTTACCCTGGGTGCACAAGCTGGCAACATCAAAAGTGGTTCGACTACAAAGACGACACAATCAAACTTTACCTATGCGAAAAAAGAGGTCACACATGCACTGCGTCAACAACAGGACCAACGAAAACAAAAGAGCACAATTATGATGCTGGCGTTCCAGACGGCAACGGATGCGGGTGTTGAAAAATGCCTGGTCGACTAACAGGGCAAAAGAACTCCGCGCTGAAATGAGGAACTTATTCGCCGTCATCAAGGCGTTCTACTCCGCCTAATCCAGGTGCAATATTAAAAGATAAGCTCAGGTGGAACAAAATTGACATAATGCATATTCTGCGCTCCTTGCCCGAGTATACAAGCAGCGCCCTAAACCACCCATCTGGAACTTGCGAAACATCAGTAAACAGACTGTCTTAAGAGGCACGTTCCTGGAATGTGAACATTCGCCTCAATTCGTCTTGCTGTCCACTTTTGTGGATCCCTCCTTCGATAGTGAAATTGATCTTGGGCTAACCTTAACGCAAGACCTGAATATTACCTGAAACCTAATCTTAACCACTCCTAGAATTTAACGCAGGTCCGTCTTTAGTACTGGGTAGTTCATATTACTGTACCCAATCGAACGCATTTCAAATGGTGTTCAATGGACAATCTCTGGACATCCAAATTTTTAAATTTATATTTGTTAGCGCCAGGAAGACAAAGTATCCGCAGCGGCCATCGGATAAGGAAGCGTATTTGTCTGCAGACAAGAGGATTGCATAGTTTTATTGGTCTGTAGGCTTTCTTTTCACGAACAATTACATTTCAGTAAAACAATTACAAGTGTCTTGCATTTAATTTTATTTGTTCTCTTTACCCGCACCCTAAATGACTTCTAGTTTACCTCACCCCCATGATTCCTTTTTGCGACGAATTAAGAAATAAACTTGAACAGGGGGATTGCTTTTAAGGCGGCCTCACAAGAAAGCCTTGCCAAATTCCATTACATTACGTAGAGCATCTGTGCGATAATGCCATTGCAACTAGACTTTTGGCCTCAGGGACCGAGCCGACCCGGCATTTTACAAAATTCCACGTTAGCAGGCAAATGTTAATCGCGTGTCAGATTTATGTTAGCAAGTAGGCGTCACGCAG